ACACACCGACCGTACACACAACACGGAGACACACACCGAGCACAATGACCGTACACACAACACACCGAGCGCACAACACAGACACACCGACCGTACACACACAACACGGACACACCGACCATACACACAACACGGAGACACACACCGAGCACACAACACGGACACGCACACCGACCCGACACACAACACGGAGACACACACCGAGCACACAACACGGAGACACACACCGAGCACACAACACGGAGACACACACCGAGCACACCGACCGCACACACAACACGGAGACACACACCGAGCGCACAACACGGACACACAACACGGAGACACACACCGAGCGCACAACACGGACACGCACACCGACCGTACACACAACACGGAGACACACACCGAGCACAATGACCGTACACACAACACGGACACACCAACCGTACACACAACACGGAGACACACACCGAGCACAATGACCGTACAAACAACACACCGAGCACACAACACGGACAACGAACACAACAGTGTACACAGAATCTGCAGCTGTCACCCATGGCAACCAATCAGCTTCTCTCCTCAGTCTGTTCAGGTAAGATCTGAAAGCTGATTGGTTGCCATGGGTGACTGCTCCAGATTCTGTGTCTGCTCCGGTTTTGATGAATCCCCCGATATCTGTACACACAGCTCGATATACAACGATGACATGGTCACCGCCACACACACAATGTATCCCTCCACCTCCATGTGATCTCCGTATAATACATACAATGTGTCATCTGCACACACATCTGTTACAGGGATCGGGCATGACATGTACACAGGCGGGTGTAGGACGGAGGTCGGCTGTACGGACAGATCTCACACACACACAGATCTCACTCCAATCCATCGCATGTATATCGGGGATCGGCCGCCTCACCTCCGAACAGCTCCGGCCTCCTCCTCCTCTCTGTACCGTCTCCCCGACACCGCTCTCCATCGGGTCAACCATCAGCCAACCCTGGGACACCTCTCCCAACCCAGCCAATCCTGGGACACCGCTGGAGGGACAACCATCACCTAACCCTGGAACACCGCTCCCAGAGGGACAATCGTCATCTAACCCTGGGATACCACGCCCAACCCAGCCAACCCTGGGACACCACTGGAGGAACAACCACCACCTAACCCTGGAACATCGCTCGCAGACGGACAATCGTCACCTAACCCTGGGATACCACTTCCAACCCTGGCACACCACTGGAGGGACAACAATCACCTAACCCTGGAACATCGCTCCCAGAGGGACAATCGTCACCTAACCCTAGGACATACCAAAAGGACAATCATCACTTAACCCTGGGACGCCACTCCCAACCAAACCTGGGACACTGCTTTAGGGACTACCATAACCTAACCCTGGAACATTGCTCCCAAAAGGACAATCGTCATCTAACCCTGGGATATGCCAAAAGGACAACCATCACCTAACCATGGGACACCACTACTAACCCAGCAAAACCTAGCACACTGCTTTAGGGACAACCATAACCTAACCCTGGAACATCACTCCCAGCAGGACAATCGTCACCTAACACTGGGATATACCTACAGGACAACCATCACCTAACACTGGGACACCACTGGAGGGACCTCCGTAACCTAACCCTGGAACAGTGCTCCCAGCAGGACAATGGTTACCTTACGCTGAGATTTACCAATATGATAACCATTACTTAACCATGGGACACCACTGGAGGGACAACCATCACATTTTCCTAGGATAGGACTGGGATCACAAACATAGCCTAACCTTTGGAGACTATTAGAGGGACAACCATCATCTAACCCTGGTACAACAGTGGAGCGATAAATATCACCTAACCCTGGAACAGTGTTGGAGGGCTAACCCTCCGACACCAATGGAGAGACAACCATCACCCAACCCTGGGATACCATTGGAGGGACAACCATAACCTAACAGTGGAACACTACTCTTAGCGGGACAACCATCACCTAAGCCTGGGATAACACTGGAGGGACAACCATATCCTAACCCTGGAAAACTACTCCCAGATGGCCAATTGTCACCTAACCATGTGACATCACCACAGTCCACAGGGCCAAAAAACACCTTACTCTAGGATACAACTGCAGGCACAACGATAACCTAACCTAGGAACACCACTGGAGGGACAACCGTTACCTAATCCTGGGACACCACTCCCCAATGGGTCAACCATCATCTAACCCTGGGACAATACTGTAGGAACAGCTATCACTTAACCCTTCCAGAGGCAACCATCACTTCAACCTGGGACATCAGTGGAGGGACAACCATCCCCCTGCCCTGGAACACCACTTCCCACCAGGCCAATCGTCACCTGATTGCTCTAAAGAACGCAGAAATCTGAAGCAACTATGTGTGTCTATTCTACGTGGATAATGGATTGTATTATCAGTGCCTAGACATTTGATTGTCAGTCTTTGCCAGGCAGGGATCTCTGTGTCTGATGCATGTGTTTGTGTGGGCAGTGGAAGAAGTGGCCGCGCCATGATTCTCACTCACTGGATAGCTTGGGGAATCTTAGGGGTGTGGGGAAACCACATGGGCTGCCACACAACCATTAGAGTACACCAGATTGTATGTGAGATGTACATCTGCCTGTGTGTGTGTCCAGCCATCTAGATTCGGGTCAGTTTCCCTCCAGTGGTGGCCGGCGGTAGTGCAGGAGACTGCGAGTGGAGGTACTAACTCTAGAGGTAATTGTGCCGGGTTTATCTAACCTGTCCCTGCTAGTGAGAGCCGTGTGTGTGTGGTCCACGAGGCCTGTGTGCCAGTTTGCTTGAGCACAGAGTGTACAGACTAGAAGTGTCCCGGAAGCGGTTTCCTACAAGCCTGGAAGTTGTGGGTGGTGGCAGCTTAAATCAGTTCATGTGTGTAGGTTTTGTTTTTACAGCCGCTGTCATTGCATCCGCAGACTAAGAGAGGCACTTCACTTTATCCAAATATATCATTTGGATAAACTTTACGTTTAAAGTCATCTACATTTTTTTTTAAATGCCATTAAAGTTTTCATTAAAGTAATGTCTGGTGATCCTGCCATGAAGGTCCTTGTTCAGGCTTTTCCTGTTATAGGGTGACAATGATTCGTCCCAATTGCTCTCCTGCATTGTCACTTGTGCTTCCTGTAACCTTGCCAATGCTCATTGTGCAGACATGTTCGTTACCATTAGAAGCAATGGCATACAGCGGCCACTGGAGTGCCTGCATGTAGACAGGAAGTAGCAGCAAGAAGGCCGGAGGCACTGCGATTCAACAAATGATTAGAGAGGAAAAACTAAAGCAAACTAAACTGTTAACTAGTTATTGTTTCCATCTACTTTAAAGCTGAACTACAGCTTTAAAAATGTATATATACTTTCATTGGTCCAGCTTGGCACAATGTAAGTATATATAAATGATCCCTGGCAGGGCCACAGGGCCCGTGTAATACACTGTAGTAACCAGAGCTACCACAGCGTATTACAGCGTCTTCCAGTTAAAGGAACAGCTGCTGTGCTGAGCAAATTCCCCAGTGCTGTTAAAACACATCAGGTTGCTTGCTCATTGGCAATTCAGAGGACGCCTAGTTTATTTGTCAATAACACTAGACATTCTCTGATTGGACGAGGGTTGGTGACATGATGTCAACACCCCTTGTCCAATCAGTACGCCTTATGCCGAGCAAGCGACCCCATGTGTTTTAACAGCGGAGGGCAAGTGACTCAGCAAAGGGGCTGTTTGTATACCGGGAACACACTGTAATACATTGTAGTTGTAAACACCCCTGTCAGTGTTATATGGTTTGATCCAAATCTTGTAACTGCCACGTTTGCTAGACGGCTTGGCCTGTTAAAGGAAGTGGAAGAATAATAGATCTACTGGCAGGATCAACAGATCATAAAACTATGTGATGGGGGGTGAAGAAAACCTGCTGTGTTAATGCTAGAGACAGACTGCATCATATATGCCATTTTTTATTTTGCCCATATTTGCACTTAACCCCTGAACTGCATTGGCTCTCTGTTTTATATTACACACTGATTGTAGCGCCTTCCATTATACACCTTCATTCTGCCTGAGATAAGAACAGAACTTCTGCCCCTGTTCGCTGGAGAGTCCTCAGGATTGCATCCTTCATCTATTCCTTCAGAGAATCCACTTAGTGCCACTGAAAGTCTGTTGCCCATAAGAATCAATCTAATTCAGCTGACCTCAATAAACCTAAAATACGATTGGCTGCTATAGGTGACTGCATTTTGCTTCGTGTCTATAAGCAGCAGACTGTTTCAAAGTCACTAACTTTATGCTGACTGCTTGCAAAAAATGTTTGAAGCCTGAAAATGTTCACCAGGAAATTGCTGATGTAACTTAAGACTGGAAAAAATGACAAAGATCCATCAAGTTCAACTGAGCTTATAGCCGCACTGCACATAAAAAAATGATATTTGTACTTACTGTAAAATCTGTTTCTTGGAGTTCATTAAAGGGCACATGATTTAGTTATTCAGAGACAATTGGGTTATTGTGAGACCTACAGGAGGAACTGGACACTGGCAAGCAAAATATGCCGTCAACCCAGCCAGGTATAAGCCCTACCACTCCCATCATGCTTCAGTTTTGTAGAAAAGCAATATAAGGAGTGGATCTCAGTGGTGGGACCTATGTCCCTCAATGAACTCCAAGAAACAGATTTTATGGTAAGTACAAAAATCTAGTTTTCTTTCTTGTTCATTAAGGGACACAGGACTCAGTTATTCAGAGACAACTGGAACATCCAAAAGCAGTCCGACCTAGAGGTGGGCAACAGTAACAAAACTCTAAAAGGCCCACATAAAGAAACAGTAAAACGTGAAGGGCCTTATACCCAAAACTGACATCAGATGAGGCCTGAACATTCACCTGATAAAACGTAGAGAACATGTGAATAGTTGCCTTGCAAATCTAGGAAACAGCTGCCTGTTGCCGAAAAGCCCAAGAGGCACTCACAGACCTAGTAAAGGTGGAACCTTGTCCTTAGGTCCATTAGCTTGGTCAATTATCTGTCTACACCACCAAGAAATGGTAGAGCGAGTAACTGTTTACCCTTTACGGTGACCATCCAGAATGATGAAAAGAGAGTCTTCTTGGAGTCCGCCATCTTGAAATCAGTTGCTGAGAAGTAAATACAAAAAGTACAAACTAAATACAGGCAGTGAAGGGAAGTTTCCTTCTGATGTACTGGAGCCAAAGAGAAAGGAAGAACAATGTCTTGGTTGAGGTGAAAGGCGGAAACCACCTTAGGCACAAAAGAAGGCTTTAGGCCTCAGTACCGCCTTGTCCTTCTGTAGGACCAAGCAGGGTTTTTAATAGGACAAAGCTGGCAGTAAAGACACAGGCCTCATAAGGAAGGTAACCTTGTGGGTGAGAGTAGAAAGGAGAATATCTCTGATAGGTTCAAAGCTGTTTTTGAAGAGCTGAGAGAATTAGATTAAAATCCCACAGTCACAGGTGGTGACACATTGTACTAAAGTTTTGACCAAAAAAATGAGAGGCTAGTGGTCTTTGGAATAAGATTGCAAGGGCTAGAATTTCCCCCCTTGATGGTATTTTGGGCCAAATGCTGATCCAGGTCTGACTGCATCAAATCAGGATACGTCCCACAGACTATTTCCTGGGATGAATTCTTCTTAACTCGCACTAGGCAAAGCGAGCTTTCCATATGCGATTGTTGACCTTGCAGGAGGTAGTTTTCCTCGCTTTTAACAGCATAGGAATTACCGAATCAATGAGGACCCCTGTCTCCCAAGATCTGGGCTTCAACAGCAATGCAGTTAAAACCGGCGTCGGTGAAGTAGTGTAGTAGACTGGTGCTTAGGATAGAAGATCTGATTCATCTGGAAGAACCAATTGGGTGTCTGCCAGAAGTTTGATCAGGTTGGAGTACTACATCAACCTGGACCAGTTGGGAGCTATGTGGATCACTGCAATAACCTCAATCTCAATTCTGTGGAGGGGACAAGGAAGTAGTTTCAGAGCAGGAGTGGCATAGATCAGGCCA